TTTGTGGGAAGGATTGCCAGGCTTAGAGGATTTGAGTTACAGGGAGAGGCTGAAAGGGCTGGGGCTATTTTCCCAGGAGCGTCAGAGGCTGAGAGGTGACCTTATAGAAGTTTATGAAATGATGAGGGGCGTGGATAGGGTGAATGGACAAGGTCTTTTCCCCAGGGTAAGGGAGTCCAAAATAAGACGGCATAGGTTTAAGGTGAGATGGGAAAGATTTAAAAGGGACCGTTTAAGGAGCAAATTTTTCACACAGAGGGTGGTGTGTGTACGGAATGAGCTGCTGGAGGAAGTGGTGGAGGCTGGTACAATTACAACATTTAAAAGTCATCTAGGTGGTTATGTGAATAGGAAGGGTTTAGAAGGATGTGGGCCAAATGCTGACAAATGGGACTCGATTAATTTAGAATATCTGGTCAGCACGGAGTTGGACCGAAGGACCTGTTTCCATGCTGTACATCACTATGACGCTATGGCTGACTCCTAATACCATCCTGGCTGTAATTTTAAAGTTCAGCCCCTTCTTCTGGACACCACCTTACCATTCCTATCTTTCCCTCTTCTTCCATCAGCTAGGGAAAATAGATTTTTCCCCTTTATCTCATCAACTCCTTCAAGTCTCTTCAACCCCAATTAGATCAACCCTTAGTCAATATTCTTATGAAACAAGCAAAAAGTTCGAAGTAGCAATGCAGTTAAGACATTGCTTCAGTTGAATGATGTGTGAACAAATTTTGATTCCCTAGAGGATGAAGCTTTCACTTGTTTCAATGTTGATGCAGTTTGTCCTTGCTTTCTGATTCACAGTCGCAGAAAATGTTATAATTTAGCAGCTTTAATGACACAGTAGTAAAGTGCATATCTGCAACTATACTGCAGCCAGCAGAGTTATTGCCATGGAAACTAGCACAGCTTATAATCACTTCAGTGCTGAGAATGTGGAAAATGCAGGATCAAATATGATGTGCAAATAGTATATCAAAAAACACGTTTATTACTCACACTGTGAGGGAAGTGCGGGGGAGGGTTAGTCAAATTGTACCGGGATAGTGGATTTCACTTATGTGGCGAGACTGGGATTGTTCTACTTAGAACAGAGAAAGTTAAGAGGAGATTTAATGGAGGTGTTCAAAAATCAGGAAGTGATTTGATAGTTTCTCCTTGTTTTATCCTTGGCAGCAGAGCCAGCAACCAGAGGACACTGAATTAAAAACCTCAGCAGAAGAACTTAAGGCAGAAATGGGGAGATTTTCTCACATAACAAATTGTTATGACAGGAATACATGGTCTGAGAGCAGTGGAAGCAGATTCAATTGTAACTTTTAAACAGGAAAGAATTTCAGGGTAATAAAAACAAATACTGTAGTTGGTGGGAATCTGAAATAAACATGAAAAATGCTGGAGAAAATCAGCAGGTCTGACAGCATCTATGGAGTGAGCAAAACAGAGTTAACATCAGTTCTGAAGAAGTTCGATGAGGAGAGTTGGCCCATAGACTAGCCAAACAAAAGCCTGACATAGTCATGCTCATATAATCATAACTTAGCATGTCTCCAGACAATAACACCATTACCCCAGGTACGTCTGGTCCCATTGGCAAAACAAATCCATGAGTGGTGGCAGCACAGTGCTATATACTCAGGAGGGAGTTGCGCGGGAGTGCTCAACATTGATTCCAAACATCATAATGTTTCATGCCATCAGGTCAAACATGGGCAAGAATATCTCCTCCTGATTACCACCTACCACCCTCCATCAGCTGTTAAATCAGTATTACTCCATGTTGTACTCTGGGTGAGGAACCTCAATGTTCACCTCCAACCATGGCTCAGTTGTACCACAACTGACTGAGCTGGCCAAGTCCTTAAGCACTTGGCTACAAGACTGGAACCAAAACAGAAGTTGCTGGAAAAGCTCAGCAGGTCTGGCAGCATCGGTGAAGAAAAAAGTCAGAGTTAACATTTCGTGAACTGTTCTGAGGAAGGGTCACCGGACCTGAAACATTGACTCTATTTTTTTTCTTCACAGATGCTGCCAGACCCTGCTGAGCTTTTCCAACAGTATCTGTTTTGCCACAAGACTGGGTCTGCAGCAAATTGTGAGGGAACCAAAAAAAGGGAGAAACCAATTTCATCTAATCCTCATCATTCGACCTACGACTGATGTATCTGTTCATGACAACACCAGCGGAAATGACCACTGCACAATCCTTGTGGATGCAAAGTCCCACCTTCACATTGAGGATAGTCTACATCATCTTGTGTGGCAGTGCCGCTGTGCTAATGGGACAGACTTTGACCAGATCTAGCAACTAAAAACTGGGCATCCAGGAGACACCATGAGCCATCAGCACCAGGGTTGTATTCAACCACATAAGAACTGAAAGAACTGAGTATACCATAAATCAGAAACGAAAACAGAAGTCGCTAGAAAAGCTCAGCAGGTCTGACAACAACTGTGAAGACAAATCAGAGTTAACATTTCGGGTCCCGTGACCCTTCCTCAGAAAAGAGGAAGTTCTGATGAAGGGTCACCAGACCTGAAATGTTAACTCTGATTTGTCTCCACAGATGTTGCCAGACCTGCTGACCTTTTCCAGCAACTCCTGTTTTTGTTTCTGCATTCAACCACAATTTGGATCCTCATGACCTGGCATTTCTCCCATTCGACCATTACCATTAGACCAAGGAATCAAGCCTGGCTCAAGAGAGAGGGGAAGAGGGCATGCCAGGAGCAGCACCAAGCATACCTCAAAATAAGGAGTCAAAGTGTGCCAACGATACAACACAAAGGACTATTTCAATAGACAGAGCGAAGAGATGCCACAACCAAGTCCGGGACTATGTCTAAATTATAGACAATAACCAGGGCTCCAGATGCCTGCTTTGCACAGGTTGGGGCCACTGTTCTCAGATTAGGATTAGGACCATCACCAGGGCCCTTGATTTCTGGCCCTGTCTACAACCATCAGATCAGATTTGTGCTCTGCAGTCCCACCACACCAGTTTTGAATGGTGGCAGGCAATTAAACAACTTACATTCGTAGGAAGCTCCACAAATAACCCCATCCTCAATGCTGGGGTCATCCCAGAAAAATAGTGCAAAAGGCTGAACTATTTGTCACCATCTTCAGCCAGAGTTACCAAGTAAATGATCCATTTTTGTCCACTCCTGAGGTCCCCAGCATCACAGACGCTGGTCTTCAGCCAATTCAATTCATTCCACATGATATGAAGAAACAGCTGAAGACACAGGATGCAGTAATTGCTATGGGCCCTGACAACATTCCAGTAATAGTACTGAGGACTTGTGCTCCAGAACTAGATGAAGCCAAGCTTTTCCAGTACAGCTACTACAGTGGCACCTACCTGATGGTGTGAAAAATTGCCCAGGTATGTCTTGCACTCAAAATGCAGAATAATCCAACCCAGCCAATTAACGCTCATCTACTCTTGAGCGTTAGCAAAGTGAAGAAAGGTGTCATCAACTTTGTTAGCAAGCAGTCCCTACTCTGCAATAACCTGCTCACTGATGCACAGTTTAGGTTCCACCAGAGCCACTCAGCTCCTGACCTCATTACAGCCTTAGTTCAAATATGAACTCAAGGTGAAGTAACAGTAGCATCAAAGCAACCTTTGGCTGAGTGTGGAATCAAAGAGCCCTATCAGAACTGGAGTCCGTGGGATTCAGGAAAGTCTCCATTTGTTGGTGTGATACCTAGGACAAAGGAAGGTGGTTGTAGTTCATTGGAGGCGAATCAATCAGTGCTGGTCCACTGCTGCTGGAGTTCCTCAGGGTAGTGGCCCATGTCCAACCATTTTCAACAGCTTCATCAATGAACTTCCCTCCATCAAAAGGTCAAAAGTACAGATGCTCCCTGATGATTGCACAACGGTCAGTGCTATTTGTGACACCTGAAATACTGAAGAGGTGCTCCATATACAGTGAAATCAAGACAACATTCATGCTGGATCTGACAACTTTGAGTAAATGACCATCTGCAACAATAGAGACCCTAACTATTGCTACTAGACATTCAATGACATTACTATCACTGAATTTCTCATGATCAACATCCTGACAATAAACATTAACCAGAAATTGAATTGGACCAGCCACATTAATACTGTGGCTACAAGTGCAGGTCAGACACTGGCATTCTGCTGTGAGTAAGTCACCACCTGATTCCCAATGTCTGTCCACCATCTACAAGGCTGAAGTCAGGAGTGTGATGGAATATTCTCCACTTACCTGGATAGGTGCAGCTCTAACAACACTCAAGAATTGTGAACTCATTTAGGACAAAACAGCCAGCAATTCACCAAGGCTCCTTCAACAGTACCTTCAAGACCATGAACTTTACCACCTAGAAGGACAAACGCAGCACAGACATGGGAAAAACCACTACCTACACATTCCCCTCCAAGGCAAACACCATCCTGACTTGGAACCAGATCAGTACTCCATCAATGTCACTGGGTCTAAATCCTGTCACTCCCTTCCTAACAACATCTACACCACCCAGATTGCAGCAATACAGGAAGGTAGGTTCACCACTCCTTTATCAAGGCAATTAATGATGGGCAATAAATGCTGGGCCTGCCAGCAATACCACATACACTGTGAAATAATTTTAAAAAGTGCATTGGGACATCCTGCAACCATGAAAGGTGCTAGAGGAATGAAAGTCTTATATTTTTAGCTGCCTTTCCAGCAATATTTGCTTCCTGATGGTAGACTCAGTTGGATGTCAGTCCCTTGCCCACTGATTGTCACATCTTGGCTTGAAGGAAGGAACTAACTCCATCTGTGTCCCGCACAGTTAACATTTCCTCGGGTAGCAAATTCTACAGATTGTAAAGTTTGTTTTTTATTACGATGACAGGGAACAGACAGAAATCATCAGAGAAATTTGAGCAATAAATATCTGATATACTGTCATTAATATTAAAGCAAATAATATCAAACATTGTCAATATAAAAAGTGGAATTTCACCAACCTCTTCCTGAACAGGGTAAATTAGAATTTCCTCGACATTTCCTTGCACTTTCCTCAACTGACATGCGACAAGACTCCGGATGCTCACATATTCTGCCACTCCATCCTTCATAGCAGTCGCATCTTCCACAATTGCACTGCCCAACACCTTTATTTTAGATCCAATAGGCAGGTATTAGAAAGAAGAATAAAAATAAAATACTGTGGACGTTTGTCAGGTATCAGTATTCAATTTCGCTCAAAACCAACACGCTTCACTAATCCCTGATAAATTCTAGTCTCTTGTCATTTTTATTGTTCCATCTTTGATGATTGTACCTTCAACCAGTGAGAATCTGAACTCTGCAATTCCATCCCTGAACCCCTTTTTTTATTCCTATAAAAGCAGATCCTTTGGCAAAGCTTTTGGTCACCTTCAGTGTCAAATTTGTATCTGATCCTGTGCTGTTTTAAGTGTGCTATATAAATGTAGATTGTTGTTGATGACGCATGTTGCAGTCAGGTACTTTCTCCATGAGATGCAATATTACAGCTACCTGTGCAACATGAGGGAGATAAGTCATGTCAAACTCTCAAAATCAATATTTATTACTTGAATATGCATCCACTTTCTTCTGTCTTAGTTATTTGTAACAATTCATTACAGGATAATTCCATAATTAAGCAACTAACAGAAGGGAAGGCAAAGCACTCTTAAATTGTAGACTGATTAGGAAAAAGTGTGCATATTTATTCCAGAAAACATAATCAGAATATCCCTTCTTCCTCTATAATAAATAGACATGTCTCAAATTTCAAATATTGAACAGGTTAGTGATCATCTATCTAGAAAATAGACTGGGGAACTGACATATTTCTAAATATATCAAGGGTCTTTCCTTGACCCCTCCTATTTCTCATCTACAAGATGTTCCTTGGTGACAATACACAAAGTCACAGCTTTAATTTCAGATGTACGCTTAGAGAGTACATGGTACCAGCTGTACCTCACCACCATCTTTCTTGATTCCTCCACTGTTACTGATCCAAATCTGGCACTGGATGAGCAGAAATCTTATCCTATTCAATATCAGGAAGCCTGGAACAATTGATTTCACACTTACTCTAAACTTTGTTCAGTCAATCCGCTTGCAAATTTCGTGCCAGATTTGATCCCAAGATTAGCTTCCAACATCATAGTTACTCCATTACAAAGATCACCTATTTCTACTTCTGTAATATAGATTTCAATCGCCCAACGTTGCCTATTCCACAGCTGAAACCCTCATCCCTTACTTCATTATTTCTAGCTTTGACTATTCCAATGTACTATTAGCCTGTGCCCCACATTCTAATCTCTGTAAACTTGGGTTCATTCAAAAGTCTGCTGGCTGTTCTTTACCCTGCAATGAGTGCTGTTCCCCCACTCACCCCTGTGCTCACTGACATAATGACACCTGGTCAAGCAAGGTATTGAGATTAAAATTCTCATCTTTGTCTTCACATCCCTCTGTTGTGATTATATTAAAGCTGATAAGAACAGAAACAACACTCTTGCCCTTCCCTGTCTCAGTGAATGATTTTACAATGACTATTTGTATGTCAGACGCTCTCTTGGGTCCTCAGCGTCACAGATGCCAGTCATCATCAAATTCAAGTCACTCCACATGGCATCATGAAATGGCTGGAGGCAGTGGACACTGAAAAATCTCTGCGCCTTGACAACATTCTGGCAATTGTACTGAAGCCTTGCACTTTTGATCCTGAAATGTCTCAACCTGCTAGAGACAATACATATTTCAATCCCTACTGAGTCAACAAGCCAATAAACTGAAGAACCAGCTGCATCCCTTGCCAAGATGTTCCAGTATTGCCACAACATTAGCATCTCCCTGAAATGCGTGAAAAATTGCCCAGGTATTCCCTGCCCATAAAATGTAAGACAAATCCAACCTGGTCAATCACACCCATCAGTTCACACTTAATAATCATTGAAGTGATGGAAGGAATCATTGGGAACACTACCACACTGTCACAAGGACACATGTAGTTCTTCAAGGTAGGTATGTCGAATCAACTTATTCAGAGGTGTCATGTCACAGCTTTGGAGCAGATGGGACTTGAACCCATGGCTGTTGGTCTAGAGGTAAGGACACTACCACTTTATGACAAAAGCCCTGAATTTGTTGTGGTTCTTTTTTAAAAAAAAAAATTAACCTGTTATGACACATCTCTAGTGCAGATGGGACTTGAACACAGGCCTCCTGACTCAGAATTAGGGACACTACCACTGTACCACAAGGGCCTATGATCCCTCAGGGTTTTTTTAAAAAATTTTTTCTATTTCCCAAACAACCTGTTCAGAGATGTTATAACACATCTCTGGCAGATAGGACTTGAACCTGAGCCTCTTGGTTCAAAGGTAGGGATGCTATCACCGCACCACAAGAGCCCTGAATTTATTGTGTTTATTTTTTTTTAAATCAATCTGTTATGACATATCTCTGGTGCAGGTAGGACTCGAGCACATGCCTCCTGGCTGAGAGGTAGGGACACTAACTCTTCATGAGAAGGCCTCATAGTTCCTCGGTGTTGTGACCTATTACCAACCATCTTCCAACCATAATTAGGTCAGAAGGGGCTCCCCTGGTGCAGAGTAATATCTGTACCCCTAGATCAAGAGGTCTGGTTCAAGTCCCACCTGTTTCAGAGGTGTGTAATAACATCTCTGAGCATGTTGATTAGATAAATAGGTTAAATAAAAATATTAATATTAGGTCAGAAGACCACTGTCCTTACCCCCCTACCTCCTTCACCGTTGGTGGTTTGCATTGGGCTTTGCTTGTAAATACTTAATTGGTTACACGGGTGTTTTTACTGGTGGTGGATGGTAGTTAAAAAAGAAAAACAAAGAAATGCCCCGGTGATTTTGGTGGTGGGAAGTTCCGCTCAGTTGTGTGTGCTAACACTCCTGGGTAGAAGAAAGGAAAATTAGGTCAGTAGACGCTCTTGTAGCACAGTGGTAGTGTTTCTACCTCTGAGCAAGGACACCTGGATTCAAGTCACACCTGCTCTGAAGGTGAGCAAGAACATCCCTAAACAGGTTGATTAAACAAAAATAAAATTAGGTCAGAAGACCAGTCTCCGTGGCACAATTTATCAGTGCTATTGGCTGTTAACCGAAAGGTTGGTAGTTCAAGACTACCTAGAAATAGACCCTTCCCCAGTTAGGGCAGTGCAGTGGTAGTATCTCTGCCTCTGAGTCAGAAGACCTGAGTTCAAGTCCCAACTGCTCCAGCCGTGTGCAACAACATCTTTGAACAGGCTAATTAGAAAATAGGTCTGAAGTTGCCCTTAATAAGCTTTGCATGTAAATTAATCAACAGGAAAACATGGGCGAAACATTGAAAAAAAAATCAGTTGTGTATAGGAACACTTCTGGATATTAAAAATAAATTACATTAGAAGTGGGGCAGTGGTAGTGTCCTTATTTCTGAGGCAGGACACGTAGCATGCCCCATATGCTACATTGGTGTGTGACAGCAACTCTGAACAGGTTGGTGCGAAAATAAATTAGATCAGAAGTAGGGATGTTAATTGATGATTGCACAACGTTCAGCATCGTTTGCAGTTCCTCAGATACTGAGGCAGCCCCTCATCCAAATTCGGCAAAATTTAGTCAAAATTCAGGTCTAGGCCGATCAGTAACATCGGTGCCACACAAGTGCCAGGCAATGACCATTTCCAACAAGGAAAATCTAACCATCTGATCCTAACATTCAATAGTATCACCATCACTGAAACCCCACTATCAACATCTGTGGTTGTTACAATTGACCAAGCTGGATTTGTGATATAAATATTGTGACTACATGAGCAAGTCAGAGACTAGCAATTCTGCAACTTGTAACTCACCACCTGACTTCTGAGATCCTGTCCACCATCTAGCAGGCACAAGTCAAGAGTGTGATGGAATGCTCCCCACTTACCTGGTTGGTGCAGTCCAACAGCACTTAAGAAGCTTGACACCATCAAGGACAAAGTAGCCCACTTGAGTGACACCACATCCACAAACGATGCACAACAATAGCAGTGTGCATCATCTACAAGTTGAACTGCTGCAGCAATACACCCAAACTCCTTAGCACCTTCCTAATCAGTGACCTCCACCACTTAGACAGAAAAAGACAGCAAAAAGCATGGGAACATTACCATCTGCAAATTCTTCTCCGAACCATGCACTATGTTGAACATCGAACTGTATCACTATCTCTTCATTGTCACTGGATCAAATTCCTTCAATTCCCATCCTAACTATACTTTTGCTATGCTCATATCCCAAGGACTGCAGGGGTTCAAAACAACAGCTTACCACTACCTTCACAAGGGCAATTATGAAACTGCAGTGATACGTGCATTCCAAATACAGATAGTTTTTACATGATTTGAATTTGGAATAATTCACATTTCTAATTGATGAGAATCAGGAAAAGTGGAATGAGCAGATTGGATGTCCAGCACAGACCCCTTACTAAGAGTTTCAGCTTTGCTAAAGACTGTGAAGATTATTATTTCACAAAGCAAGTTGTAGAAATTCTGGCACCTTATCCTCCGGACTTGATACTAAATTTCAAATGTCAGAAGAACTGCTCACTGGTGTGGACAAAAGCATATCTTCAAATATATCAGCAGAATGAGGGGGAAGCTTTGCATATTAACAGTTCCCTCCACATGGAAAACCCAAAGTAATGTGAAAAGTACACTGTTATTTTCAGAGATATGTGACAAATACTTAGCACATGGTATGAGAGTCTAAGCTTGAGTTCCTTCTTGCTAAGCAAACAGAAAAATGAAATTCTAACTTTATGAACCTCTATAGGCCGCCCCTTACCCTTCCCTTTTCAAGAGGGCAATGCCCAAGCCTCGTCAGTCTTTCCTGATCAGGAAGCCCTCCAACTTTAGGTATCATCCAGGTTTATCGTTCTTGCATAATGCATCTTCTACATCTTTCCAATAACATGGAGACCAGAACTATGCACAGTACTCCAAGTGTGCACTCATTGCCTCTAGATTTGAACTCTTGCTTGCAATTCTCCTTGGAAAGCCAAGCGCAGGATATTGTCACCTAATCCTTGGATCCCTCTGAACTTGAGAATTTGCAGTGTTTCCGGACTTGAGCTGAAAATTTCAAAGCCAAGGTTTTCTTTCTTTCCCTCTGTCCCCAGCATTGTGCTTTTTTTAAAAGAATCCCTACAGTGTGGAAACAGGCCATTCAGCCCAACAAGCCTACACTGTCTCTCCAAAAAGCATCCCACCCTGACTCACCCCCCCACCTTACCTCTGTAACCCCACACTTCCCATGGCTAATCCACCTCATGTATACTATGGGGCAATTTAGCATGGCCAATCCACCTAGCCTGCACATCTTTGGACTGTGGGAGGAAACTGGAGCAGTCAGAGGAAGCCCACACAGACACAAGGAGAATGCGCAAACTCCACATAGTCAGTCACCCGAGGGTGGAATTGAACCTGGGTCCCTGGCCCTGTGAGGTAGCAGTACCAACCATTGAGCAACCATGCCATGCAGTCCCCCATAAGTAATGTTAGTAAGGGATCATCAAGCCTGCCCTTAAGCCTATTGAGGTCATTAACTACTCAATTAGAGGCGACTAAGGGCTTGTTTCTGTCTCAGCTGCAGTAACACACGGCAACTGGAGAAAGGAGAATGAATCAGGCAAGCCTGCTACTCCACAATCTCAGGATAAACGGCATTAAGGAAATGGAGGTACATCCTGTTGCCTGCTTCCTTAGGCTCCAACCTCACCCCAAACCCACCCGTCTCACACACAGACACAGACACACACACACACCGCTCTGTTATTCATGTTGCCTTCCTTCCAAGGACTGCTTGTACTCCTAGTGAGGGCTGCTACTGAGTTCTTACACTGCTTGGACAACACAGCTACCAGCCAATCATATTGCCCAGCAGCTGTCAAGGGCAAGACTTCCTAACTTTGAGGGGCAGAGGTTGACAATTAACTTGTTAAAGGCTGCCCCCAACATGTTACCACTCACAACAACATCTCTCCCCCACCATCACCACCCACCTACCCCTTCATCCTAAAATTATGCTCCATGTTTCAGAATAATGACCTTTCATAGGAACAGAAAAAAGCTGGATAGCTAACTGATTTCGAGCATGTGTAGAGGCAGGGGAACAGAAGAACGAAAGGGAAGCTCTGTGACAGTGTGGATGACAGGACAGATTAAATGACAGAAAGAATGATTATGCAAAGCCAAAGGAAATGGTAATAACAGATGTAAACAAAAATAATATTGGTCCAGAGTAACTGTATATAACACCAGCAGAACAATAGATGGAAGCATGTTAATTATACAAACAATTTCCAAATTATCTGAAAATAAAAGTCATATTGAATCTGTGTAAACAGCATTTGTTTACCTGAGCAGAAACTATCGGAGTATCTGTCATATACAGCGAGGCAGTCTCTCTCATCACATTCACATGTTGCCCCATGAATGTCACCGTATTCACCACTGGGATCCAGGTCATAGCATGTACACTCACCACAGATGCAATTCCCTAAAGAAAAAAAATCACAGCATGATTTGAGAAGGGTGGTATTGTGCTGTCATCAAACACGGCCATACTGTGTAATCCATGCTTAACTAGTGTAAATTATATTTATTATGTAGTCATTGAGAGTGCATTTCCTTTCTCATCCTCCCATCACAGTCTGTTGTTTAAGTGGCGTTTCAGTTCTGACAAAAAAAATCAGCAACCAATCTCATCCAAAGAGATCCCCAACTGATAGAATTTCTGGGCTAAACTTTACCTTTGTTAACTTGAGTCTTTAACTCCATGAATGGTATCATTTCTTTATCACCTCACATAATGCTTCTATTTTCTCAGTTTGATGCACTATCACAGAAATTGACTTCAATTTTGCTATCCTCCTTGATACCATACATGATCAAATGCTGTCTTGATATCAAGGGCAGGCATTCTCATTTCACCTCTGGACTTCAACGTTGTTTGCCCAAGTTTAGTCTACAGCTGTAATGAGATGTGCAGCTCTGATGATATTTAAAACTACCCAACAGTGAGCAGGTTATTGCTGAGTAAGTACAATGTGATAGCATTGTTGACAACCCCTTCCACAACTTTGCTGACCATTGAGAGTAGACTGATGGAGCAGTAATTAAGCGGATTGGATTTGTCCTGCTTTTTGTGGAGAGGTCTCCTCTGAGCAATTTTCCATATTGTTTGGCAGATGCCAGTTGTAGCTGTACTAGAACAGCCTAACAACAGGCATGGCAAGGAGGAAGGCTTCGTATTTGCTAACAGAGAACCACCCCCACATCACACACACACACACACACACACACACACACACACACACACACACACCTCTGTCCTGCCAAAATCTGTGAACCTGGATGCCCTCTCTTCAGATCCCTAACATGTATTTCCTGCAATGTCACTTGACCTATCCAGCTCAGAGGCAGAGTATCTAAAGCCACAGCATTTCATTTCTGCAACAATAAATTGTTAGATTTGCAAATTCTTTATTTAAATGCTTTCAAAAAAGCTTAACTTTTTCTTTCCGTCACAAGTTTTACTCTCTTAATTAAATCTTTCTTTCCTTCTTTATTTCTGTTTCTATCCCTGATTTGACTAATTCCCTTGATTTCCTTTCCTGTCCTTTTCTGTTTCTTTCCCAATCCTTCAATCTCATTGGTTGAGGAGATGGACTGCTGGGTCTCATACAAAAGGCTATGAATTCACAATTCGCTATCTTAACCTCCCAGCTATAAACAATCATGAGGCCACAATTAATATCCACCTAATGAACACAATTAGTACTTAATTGATAAACAATTAACATCAAATCCACCATTACCTTTGCTGTGCTATTTTCAGCTCATGCACCCAATAATTTAGGATTCTAAAATGATCTCTAGGTGAAGGAGAAGGAGAAAAGGTCTCTCTACTAACATACAATGCCAGGTGATGCGCTGCTTCTGCACAATCTCAGCTATTATACTGAGTTGTCACTTTGTTCTTCCACCTGTGTACAAACATGTGCAGCTAATGGCCTCCCATCCACCATGTGTAGGATTCTGGGGTTCAATCAGATTCCTAAGGCATTGCATTTAAAAGGAGAAAGGGGATGGGAGAAGGAATTCTCTTACTCAGTGAATAATACTGAATTAGAACCCATCGGCTTTAAGGGTGGGGCAAATAGAGATGGTTAATTATTTCTAAAGGAAAACTGGACAGGCATTTGAGGTAAGCTTTCAGGGTTACAAGGATAGAGGAAAGGAATGGGAGTGACTGGGTTGCTCTACAGAGAGCTAGTACGGACTCATTGTGTCAAGTGGCCTCCTTCCATGCTGTAACGACTACTTGACAAAAGAATTCATTCATTACTATATTTCAGAAAACTATAGTTCAATCTCAATGAAAATGTCCTGATGACACAAGAGAATAACCGAAGTTCAACATGGAAAGGAATCAAACCTGTCCCACCCTGTAGCATCTGTAGTGCTCATATTAAATTTGCTCTGCTGCTGACAATTGTACAAGATAAAGATCAGTAAAGTAACAAAATGATGTACATCTTCTGATCTGTGCATGATGGTGAGATATTGAAAGAACTTTCATTCATCTCCCCAAAATCACTGCAATGCACTAAAGGCCATCCCCTGCAATTATAGAGCCATAGAAATTCAGAAAGAGCAGGATGCAATTTCAGCTCATTGCTGGTTCTGCCATAGAGAAATCTGTGCTATCTCCGTTTCCCAGAACTCTCCATGCTGTTAAACAATTAGCATCTTCAAGTGTGGATCTTAAAAACCTTGATTGTTTTTGTTCAAAAATTGGCAGATTAATTCCAAACAAAAAATTGATGCAATTACATATATGAATTACATGGAATGAAATAAAGAAACAGACCATTCAGCCCACCAGTTGTGCTAGTATTTATGTTATAAAAGAACCTCCAACTGTCCCCCTTCACTCACCCAGTCGATATTTCATTCATTTTTCTCTCATACCAGCTTCACCTTCAATGCATTTATACTACTCAACTTAATAAGTTATACTATTCTACTTAATGAAAATGTTTCTGCTGAATTCTGTAATGGATTTATTCGAGACCATCAGCTGCTTGTAGCCCCTAGCTTTAATCATCATACAAATAGAAATATCCAATCAACCGTAACACACCTTCAGTATTTTAAAGACCTCTATCAGGTCACCTCTCAGCATTTTCTTTTGCAGAGAACAAAGCCCCAGCCTGTGTTTAAGCCCACATGAACCTTTTCCCACCCTACTTCATTGTACTCTAACTTCATTCTATCTACAAATCTTCACCCAGTCTTTTATGACTTCTTTTGATTTGCTTATCTAAGAGATATACTCTTTGTCCAGGAATAATCACTCGAGCTATGAGAGTAAGAGGCAGAGCTCACACTCATGTGTTCACGCTTGATAGCACCGTCTTTAACTAATGAAGAAGAATGCCCTCACTAGCCCAGCATGGTATCAGTGAGAAAGACACTTTGCGTCCTTGATTTGCTTTCAGACCATTGAGGGTGAGTTTAATTTTGAGTACAGCATGTAACATATGTGAACACTGGCTCAATGAGCTGATTTCAAACAGCTTTGAGACCTGACAATAATTAACACACACATTCTCAGACAAGGCTCAGAGCAATTTTCTTCTTGTGTTATGGCATAACTAAATACTTTGAAGTTGGGAAACTACAAGCCTTGGTCGTTAGATGCACTGTGTAATAGTTTTTTGGCTGGAAGCCAGCTCAGGAACATTCTCAATTTTCACTGTCATTCTGGGGTAACCAAGTAGAACAACTTATGAAATGATGCTGTCTCTCTGACTCCGTCTTTCACTGTCTTTTTCTCTTTCTCGTTCTTCACATTCAACATATCCATCAGCCTGTTTAGTTTGGAATAAGAGTAATAAATCAGAAAATAACAGGTCTGCTGGATTTTGAAATTTTCTTTTCTGAGTTGAGTCTTTCAGAGCCACGGTAGGATTTCTACCACAATAACTCTTGCTCTCATTACACAAAACCGAAGCAATCAGAGCAGAAGTGGGTAACATCATTTACTCTCAATTCCAAGCTTCATCATTAACATTTTCATTACATCTGAACTGTTTTGAAAGACACACCTCGGTTGCTGCAGACCTTGCCATCCAATGACATGCATTTCCTTTTGCTCTCCCACGGGGTAACGTCACACTGGAATTCACATTTATCGCCATGCCAACCAGGCATACAGTAGCAGTTACCACAGTAACACTTTCCATGCCCTTAAACCACAAGAAATAGTGGGTAAAGCAGCAAAACTAAAATTTAAGATTATTGCGACAATATTCAGTCAAGGCATTTATTTCCCAGATTTCATTTCACAAATTACCCTTCATGATTAATTTCAAAATAATTTGACACACATGCAGACAGATGTTGTCCTCAATGTCCAAAATCACTTCCAATTATCACACAAATAACACGTTGCTAACATCAATAAAATCACTCCACACACAAGCCAACTATTCCGTAGAAGTGGTTAAAAAAAATTAAAATTAAATTCTGGTTCGGGTGCAAATATTGCAAAAAGATTGTCCATAGTAAGTGACCTGTTTCGATGGCAAGGGAAATGGATTGTAAATCTAGTCAGAAAATTAGCAGAGTTGAATGTTTGTTCCATAGATTGCACCAAAAGTATTTTAAATAATTCAGCAGGACCTTTGAATATTTTGCTGTGAAGCCCAATAATATAAAGGATTTCCATCAAATAATACCTGCTCAATAAAAGATTTTCATTTATCATGTAACAAAAATATCACGCATTTGTACGGCACTTTTGAGAGATAAGTATTTGCAAAGTGTTTTACAACGGGAAAACTGGACAGATGGTACACTGAGCTAAAGTATATATTAGATGGCTGGTTTAAAGCATGATGAAAGAGTGAGGGTCTTCAGTAGGGTTTCTAAAGGATTGGGGGGTTTGGAGAGATGGAGGGATACAACTTGGTTTAAGCCTTCTGTTGTTCGAACATTGGATAGAAAGAATAGCATATTTCGACATGGATTAACTTCACAATTCATCAGGATTGAACATCTAAGTATGTTTTGTAAGGGAACACAATTTTTAAAACATTTCTGACATGCCACAAAATAACGCAATAAATTTTATCTTCATTGAGTTCAATCCCTTTCAGCGTTATGCACATCTGATTCTTCCAAAGCTCGTAACTACAGGAAGCCTGGGGCCACTTTAGCAAAATATCAAATGAATGCTTGCACAAATAATACTACCAAAGACTCTACTTTCACTTTATCGAGCATGCAGAATGCAGCACTTGTTGAAATGAAATATACTGCGGTGCACCTCCACAGATCTCGCCAGTTTCATCGTCAATGCAATCTTCATCGTTGCACTCACAAAACTTTCCATAAACCAGTTTTTCATTCCCAGGATTGTCGCAGATACACCTGCCACAGTGACAGGTACCTAGAAAATATGATAAACACGGAGCACTTGTTATTTGTTACTTGCATGAATTCCATTGTTTGTTGCATCATAAAACAGATAAATACAACTTGGCTTAATTATTGCAATTATGATACAATCCTCGAAATACTTCCTCCTTTCTACAACCTCTCTGGGCTGTAATACAGATTCTTTTAGTTTATCCATTCATGGGATGTCTGTGTCTCTGTCTACGCCAGCATTTAATACCCATCCCTAATTGCCCTGGATAAGGTGATTGTGAGCTGCTGTCTTGAACTGTTGCAGTCCATGTGGTGAAGATACCGCCAGAGTGCTTCAGGAAGAGGATTCCAGGATTTTGACCCAATGACAATGAAATAACAGTGATATAATATCATATATATGGGCCACTGTGTAGTGCTTGGAAGGGAATGCACAAGTGGGGGTAATAGTGGAGCTGCTCTTGATCTTTTAGGTGGCAGAGGTCACAGGTTTGGAAGTTGCTGTTGTTGAAGGAACCTTAGGAACATTGGAACAGGAGTGGGCCATTCAGCCTGTCAAGTTTGCCTGAACATTTAGACGAGATGGTGGTTGATCTGCTACATCTGGATCTTTCCCAAACTGTCTCCATATACCTGAATGTCATTAGTCTCCACAAACCCTCAGATTTTTGTCCTCAAACCTGTTCAATAATTGAGCTTCCACATCCCTCTGAGGTAGAGAATTCCAAAGATTTGTCATCCTCTGAGTGAAGAAATTCTTCCTCACCTCTGTCATTAATGGTCGGCCCCCTAGCCTGAGATTATGTCCTCTGGTTCTTGTGTTACCAGCCAAGGGAAAATACATTCACGTTGTCACGCTCCATAAGAATGTTCTAAGTTTTACTGAGATCGCCTCTCATTCTTTAAACCTTAAGGCAATACAGACACAGTTTCCTCAATTTCTCCTTAAAAGGCAATCCCACCATCCCAAGGATAAATCAGGAGAACCTCCATTGAACTTCATTAATGGCAAATACATTCTTCCATATATAAAGAGACAAAACTTTACGGAATACTTCAAATGCAGTGTCACCAAAGTTCCATAAAACTTCAGGAAAACATCATTACCTCTGTACATTAATCTCTTTGCGATGAAGGCCAAAATACCATTCAGCTTCCTAATTGCTTGCTGTACCTACATGCTAACCTGTAGTGACTTGAGGATAAGGGCACTCATGTTCCTTTGAACACCCACACATCCCAGTACTCAAGTTAAGAAATATTCTGCTTTCTAAATTTCTTTTCTACCAAAGCAAATAGCGTCACACTTAGATACATTAAATTCCATCTGGTACATCTTAGCCCATTTACTTAGCCTGTCCAAATCATCTTGAAGCCTCCTCCTATCCTCCTCACAATTTATGTTCCCACCCACTTCGGCGTAGTCAGCAAATTTTGAAATATGCCAATTGGTCCCACATCCAAATCATATTATAGATTGTGAACATATGTGGCCCCAACACTGACCCAAGTATGAACATATTAGTAATAACCTGTAATTCTGAGAATGATCTGTTTATTACTACACTATTTCTGTTCTATTAATCAATTCTCAAACTATACTAAAAAAAACAAAAAAAAAAATAAAGACCAAAGAACACCATCTTCTCACATCTATTCTAATGATGCCACCTTTCGCATGGGGATCTCAGAAATGTCCACATTTTTCTACAACCAAGGATTCCCCGCCACTGTCTTTGACAGGGCTCTCAGTCACGTCTGACCCATTTCTCGCCATTCTGCCCCCACCCCTTCTTCCTTCCCTCCAATAATATCATTAGGGACTTCCTGGTCCTCAGTTACCACCCACCAGTCTCCGTATCCATTTCAGCTACCTTCAGTGGGATGCCACCACCTGACCCATATCCCCCTCCCCTCTCTTGTCAGCATTCCACAGGGACCATTCCCTCCAGGATACCTGGGTCTACTCCTCTTCTATTCCCAACACTTCCTTACACTCCCACAGCACCTTCCCATGCAGAAGGTGTAACACTGGTGTTTGTTTACTCTCTCCCTCCTCACCATCCAAGGTCTCTGATACATCTTCCAGGTGAAACAGTGATTTACCTGCACTTCACTCACTCAATCTAGTCTACTGTATTAGCTCCTCACAATGTGGTCTCCTCTACACTGGGTGGATGAAAGGCAGACAGGGTGACTAATTTGCGGAACACTTACGCTGTGTCCTCAAAACTGACCCTGAGTTTCCAGTTGCCTAGCACTTCAACATAACATCATGGTCCCTGACCAACAGCTTTATCTCAGACCTGCTACATTGCTCCAGGAAAGCTCAGCACAAGCTGGAAGAACACAATCTCATTTTCCGCTTGGGGACCCTACAGCCTTCAGAACTCAGTATCAAGTTCAATAATTATAGAGTCTGAACACCTCCTTCCACATCCTTTACCCACCCCCATACCCAGACCCTGTCATGACATATGCTGCTTTCATCATTGTCTACCCATCTTCACCAATTAATGGTCCTGATTTTTTTTCTCTCTCTCTGACTAACCATTATCCATCCCTTTGTCTGCCTAACTACTGTTCTCTTTCTTTGGGCTCCATCCCCCTACTGCCAAGTTCTTTCCTCCCTCAGCTCCCCCTATCATCAGCATATATGCCACTTTTTCCTAGCTACTGTCAGTTCTGAAGAAGGATCGCTGGACATGAAATGTTAGCTGTGCTTTCTCACCACTGACCTGCTGAGTTCTTCCAGTAATTTCTGTTTTTGTCTATACTGGTATATTCACCCCATCCCATGCACTTCAATTTTATTGAGTAAACTCTTGTGTATGGCCTTAGCAAAAATCTTCTGCAAATCCAAATACGTCACACATCCTCTGGTTCTCCCTTGTCCACACTGCAAGTAACATCCACATTAAACTCCAACACATTTGTCCATCATGATTTTCCTTTCACAAATCCATGTTGATTTTGCCTAATAACATGCAATATTTTCTAATAACCCAGCTATTACATCTTGTTGAGTTACCTCAGTGCATTTTGTAAATGATACACTCTGGTACCATTATGTGACAGTGTTGAAGGGAGTGAATGTTGAAGGTGGTCAATGGCATGTCAACCAAGCAGGATGCTTTGTCCTGGTTGGTGTCGAGCTTCCTGAGTGTTGTTGGAGCTGCATTCACTCAGGCAAGTGGAAAGTATTCCATTTCACTCCTAACTTATAACTTTTAGATGTTCAACAGGCATTTGGGAGACATGGGTTAGTTAATTATTGCAGATTTCTAATCTCTGACCTGCTCACGTTAGCATAGAATTTATATGGTTAGTTCAATTTAGTTTGTGGTCTGTGAGTAACCACCAGGGTGTTGATAGTTGAGAATCAGTAATGGTAATGCCATTGAACTTCAAGAGAAGATGATTGGATTCCCTCTTGTTGGATATGGCCATTGCCAGGCACTTGTGTGGTGCAAATGTTACTTACCATATATCGGCCCAAGTCTGGATATTGCGCAGATTTTGTTGCATACAGACATGGACAGCTCCAGTATCTGACAAGTCATGAATGTTGTTGAATATTGTGCAATTGGCAGTGATCATTCCCATTCTAACTCATGATAGAGGGAAGACCGTTGTTGAAGCAACTGAACACAGTTGAGCCTAAGACACTTCTGAACCAGGAGGCCTGGGTTCAAGTCCTATTTGCTCGAGACAAATGTAATAACGTTTCTGAACAGGTTAAGTTGAAAGTATCTTTCCTGGGGAAATTCATGGACTGAGATGATTGGCCTCCAACAACAACAACAACCATGATAAAATTCACTTTGTTGTCTTTGACCCTCTAACTCTTTCTTTGAGTCCAGCACTAATAAAACAAAAAGGGAATTAATAGGAAACTCCTTTACCCAGAAAGTGAGAAATGTGAGGTTATACATTTTGGCAGGTATACTAGAAAGGCTGAATATCATTTAAATGGAGAAAGACTGTAGAAAGTTCCAGCACAGGTGGATTTGGGGGTCTTGATACAAAAATCACAAAAAGCTAACATCCAAATTCAGCATGTGATAGGGAAAGCAAAATGGAATGTGGGCTTTTTAAAAAATTTATTCACGTGCAGAATGTGGGCATTGCTGTCCTTAAGAAGATGATGGTGAGTTGTCTTTTTGAACTGTGCATTTCATGTGCTGTAGATAGACCCACAATACCCTTCGGGAGGAAATTCCAGGATTTTGACCCAGTGACAGTGAAGGAATGGTGATATATTTCCCAGTCAAGATGGTGAGTGTCTTGGAGGGGATCTTGCAGGTAGTGGTATACTCATGTATTTGCTGTTCTTGTTCTACTAGATGGAAGTTGTCACGGGTTTGGGAATGTGCTGTCTAAGGATCGTTGGTGAATTTCAGCAGTGCATCTTGTAGATAGTACACACTGCTGCTACTGAGTGTCGGTGGTGGAGGGAGTGGATGCTGTGGATATGGTGTCAATCAAGTGGGCTGCTTTGTCCTGGATGGTGTCAAGCTTCTTGAGTGTTGTTGGAGCTGCACTCATCCAGGCAAGTGGGGAGTATTCCATCACACTCCTGACTCATGCCTTGGAGATAGGGGCTTTGGGGGTGGCAGGAAGGGAGTTACTCACCAGAAGTCCTAGCCTCTGACATGCTCCTGTAGCCATTCTGTTTATGTGGTGAGTCCAGTTGAGTTTCTGGTCAATGGTAACTCCAAGGATGTTGATAGTGAAGGATTCAGTGATGGAAACACCCTTGAATGTTAAGGGGCTGTGGTTAGATTGTCTTTTATTGGAGATAGTCATTGCCTGTCATTTGTGTGGTGCAAATGTTACCTGCCTTTGTCAGACCAAGTCTGGATATTGTCCAGATTTGAACATGGACTGCTTCAGTATCTGAGGAGTCATGAATGGTGCTGAACATTGTGCAATCATTGGCGAACATCCCCACTTCTGACCTTATGATGGAGGGAAGGGCGTTGATGAAGCCGCTGAATATGGTTGGGTTTAAGACAT